TTCTTCTACACATCATGCCACTAACATTAAGAAAATAATAATAATTTTAGTAAATATAAACTGCTATGAGAAAAAAAACTCTTTGCACATGAGTTTTAAAAATAAATAAACAAATAAACTCTTCGCACAGTGCAGAGAGATAACAAATGGAGTAAAAAAGGAAGAAAAAACTCTCCGCATAATACAGAGAGATGGCAAACCATGTGCGGAGAATTGACAAACTCTACGTACAGTGCGGAGAGATGGCAAATATCATGGCAAAACTCTTCGCACAATGCGGAGATATGGCATTTTGTGCGGACACTATCCTCACAAAGTGCGGACTCTCCGTACAGTGCGGAGTAAAAAAAAGTTAAAAAAAACTTCGCACAGTACGGAGAGTTGGCAAACTCTTCATACAGTGCGAAGTTAAAAAAAAAAAAAAAAAACCTCCTCACAGTAACTATCACTTGCGTTGCATGACTTTTGCATTTATCGTATTTTTATTAATGTATGAATTTTAGCTTTTTGGAAAATTTTTGAAACAATATCTAGAAATATTTTCATGATATAAGAAAATAATTGTAAATTATTTTTACAATTGCATAACAATATTGTGTTATCTAGAAAAAATATACTTGTATATTTCATACTTGAATAAGAAATAAACGAGATTATACAAATTATTTTACTTGTATTCTTTGATAGTGTTGATATGATTGAGTTGAATATGACGATTATATTTCTAAATTTTGTGTAATTTAATATTGGAAAATTGAAGAATGAGCATCATATTCATATGCATTTATATTTTGTGCTTCATATATATTTAATATTTATTTTATGCTTATATTGAAAAAATAAAAATTTGAATTTTTTTTTTGAAATTTGGTTTGGTAAGTAAATTTACGGTGTTCTACATTCTCGGTATTTGTAAGTGCAAAAATCGGTATATAAAAATACAGTAAACTGCAAATACAGTAGGCAGCATATACGGTAAGCTGCAAATACGACAAGGTGAAAATATGGTAAGTTATTTGCAAATATGGTAGGTTGCAAATACAATAAGTTGCAAAATACGGTAGGTAGCGTATACGGTAAGGTACAAATACGATAAGGTACAAATATGGTAGGATGCAAATACGTTAAGCTGTAAATACGATATGCAGCATATACGGTAAGCAACCTGCAAATACAATAAGCTGCATATATGGATTTATAATTTGTTATAAATGTATAAAATTTATTTAATATTGAATTTCTTAAATATTAAATGTTGTAATTTAATATTGTTTCCTTTTTTATAATTGTATTTCTGAGAATTAAAAAAAAAAGTGGCTATGAAATTGCTAATTTTTAAATGTGTTTTTTTTAAGATAAAAATGATTTTTTATGTTATTTGTAAAAAAAAAAAATTTATTGTAATTTTATTAGCGTAATAAGAAGATTTATTATGATTTTTTTGAAAAATTTTGTTTATGATGATTGACAAATATTATTCCACACACGCATCATGCCAACAACATAAAAAATAATAATAATTTTAGTGTATATAAACTCCAAGTGACAAAAAAAAAATTTCGCACATGAGCAAAATAAAAGACTTCGCAAAGTGTAGAGAGATGGCAAACTATCTCTCCGCACAGTGTGAAGAGAAAAACAAAAGCTCTCGGAACTTTATCTGCAAGTTTCAAGAGGTCTTTTTTTAAACAACTTTTGAGCAATGCATTGAACACTTTAATTCTTGACTTACAACCCGAAAGTATAATTTCATTAAAAATTGTATCCGCTTCTAATGTCCAAGAGCTGTTATCAAGCAAATGTAAAATATTAAATTTGGGTGGTACCCTAAAGCCTCCATTTGTGAAAGCAATGTCATGGTACTATCAATATCCCCTTCTTTGCACAACTCACATATTATTTCATTGCATGAATCACGAGAAAGCTCCTTTCCAATACCGTAAATATGATTTGCATGCTCAGAAATTGAGATGTGACTAGAATTTAAAGACATAATTGATTTTGAGTCATATTTCTCGACTATGTTTCATTGTACATATGAAAAATTTACAATCTTGAAATTTGACTTGTAATTAAGGAATTTGAAAACAACTCTCCGCACTGTGTGAAGAGTTTTTTCTCTCTATACTGTGTGGAGAGCTGATTTGTCATCTCTCCGCATTGTGAGGAATTTTTTTTTCATCCGCACTGTGCGAAGAGTTTCTCAACTCTCCACACATGATTCAACTCTCTCCCCATTGTGGGAGAGGTTTTTTTTCTCTCCGTACTTTTTTTTACTTCACACATGGTTCAACTCTTTATGCACCGTGCGGTGAGTTTTTTTCTCTCCGCACTTTGCCGAGAGTTTTGCCATGGTGCGGAGCAACTCTCCACACTGTGCAAAGAGATTAACTCTCTCCGCACAGTGCGGAGAGTTTTTTTTGCTCTCCATACTATGCGGAGAGGGTTTTTTTTTCCTCCCACTGTGAGAAGAGTTTTCCAATTTTCCGCACATGGTTCAACCCTCTCCATACTGTACGGAGAGGTTTTTCCCTCTCCGAACCTTTTTTTATTTTTACTCCGCACTTGATTCAACTTTCTCCGCATTGTACGAAGAGTTTTTTTTTCAATTTTACAATATTGAATTACGCAAAATTTAGAAATATAATCTTCACATACAATTCAATCATATCAACACTATCAAAGAATACAAACAAAATAGTTTATATATTTCTTATTCAAGTATGAAATATACAAGTATATTTTTTCTAGATAACATACTGTCTTGCAATTATAAAAATAATTTACAATTATTTTCTTATGTCATGGAAATATTTTTAGATATTACTTCAAAAACTTTCCAAAAAAACTAAAATTCATACACTAATAAAAATATGATAAATACAAAATTCGTGCAACGCACGTGATAGCGACTAGTGTCACTAAAAAAGTGATAGAAATCTAGAAAATGATTGAAAACTAACAAACACTAAAAAAAAAGTGACAAAAATTCATAAAATTGACAATTACTAAAAAAAAGTGACATAATTTGAAAATATCATATTACATTGTTTATTGTAATCACTACATATTAAAAGAGGCCCTTTTTGGTAGTACTGTTTCTATGGAATCATGTCATTCTACTGTTTGTTGCCATTTTTTTATTTTTTTTATTGTTTTGGGTTTATCTTTACAACTGTTTTTTTTCTTTAAAAACCATTCCTATCTGAACTGAGCCATACATCGCTACAACAATCTCACACGCAACCATAATTTCTTTCGTATCTGTTATAGGCTTCTTTCTCTCTCCCATTTCTTCTCACTCTCTCCATTTTCACGCACAAACTATCGTTCTTCTTTGTTTCACTTCCCCCACAGAATCACTTCTTCTCTATTTTCTATTTTTCTCTGACGATTTCTTTATATATACTGCTTAATTTAGCTAGAGATACCATTCAAAAAATCTTAATCTTTTGTTTTTATTTTCTTTTGTAGAGGTTTGAAGTTTTCATCGCCGAGAAAGTATACGATCGAGAGGATGATTGAAAAAAGAGTTTTGGTAAGTAAATGTTAATTTGCTACTATGAATCGAATGTATAGTGGTTGGATTTTACTGTTTGGACCATCCTAAAAATTCAAACATTTTTTTCGGCAGGGTTTCAACTTTTCATTGTCTAATATATGAGATTGAGCAAGAACTTGGTCGAAATATAACCAAGCAAGAGTCTTATCTATTGGGTTTGTTGATCCAAAAATGATAATTTTCCTTTTCCTTTGATGCATTTATTATTTGTTCCACGTATTTTCATCTAGAACTTTCTGGCTGTAGAAAGGTTTGTTATTTTCTTTTTAAAATTTTTTTTTATAAATTTGGTACATTTATTTTTGAACTTTTTTCGATCTGAAATGTTCAAATGTTTTTTATTACTGAACGATCTCCAGATGCTTAAGGAGCTCCAAACTGTTATCAAATGAGGCCCATCCTATTTGTTGCCATCACGCTGCGACCTCCTGCAAAGTTAATTTAAAGCCCTTTGTGCAGTCAAGTACAGGTTCCCCATTTCGCTTGACAATACATCTTTGCGATCAGTAGTTGATTCTAATTAATTTGACTATTTTATTTGGAATTTTATGTTTCTCCTGTGAATTCTAGCAATTGAATTTGATGTGGAAGCTTTTTCGTATTTGATTCCGATTAACTAGAATATTATATCTGCAATTTTCTCTTCCTTTTTATGAATTGTAGCTATTGGATTTTGTGTGGATACATTTTTGCAGTTCGTATTTGATTTTGAATAATTATACTGTAATTTCTCTTGGCATCATGAATTCAAGCAATTGGATTTTGTGGTGACATTTTTCCGACCAGTAGTTGGTTATGATAATATGATTGATTAGAATGTTTCATCCGCAATTATTTCTTCCCTTAAGGAACTATAGGAATTGGGTTTTGTATGGATACATCTCTACTATTGGTAGTAGATTCTAACAAATTGGAATTTATTTGCAATTAAAATAAATGAACTGTGTTGGTAACTCCCTAAACTTCAAAAAATTATTTTTATTATTCTTCTCGGGACATTTGCACATTTTTCTTCACAAATAAAGCAAGAGATGTACTCGACTACATGATGTAGTTGAACTTCTGATATTTTTACCTGATGTTGAGATCTAGCCTACGTTCTAAAGTTCTGTTGGTGCACATGATCTTAACGTGACACAATCATCTAGATCCAGTAGTTAAAAAAGATACATGGGCTGAAGAGAAATTATTAGTCCTGGCTTCTTATCACCAATTATATGGAAATAAATGGACAAAATCGCAAGTTTGTTGTGTAAATTTTCTAATAGCTCGATCGTACTTGATTTTAACATAAAATTCTACATTTTATCATTTTCTTCTAATATGCTTTTTGCTGGAAGTTCAGTATCATGTTCAAAATTTTTCGAGATTGTAATATATCCTCTCTTTTTGTTGCTCTGTTTTCTTCTCTGCTTTGATAACCTTGCCCATATTATTAATTTTCTTGAACTGTTCAATTAAAGATGATCGCTGAAATTGAAATGCTAATGTGCCTATGGTCGACTAAGATCTTGCTTGGGTGGGCAACTATAGATATGAGAAAGAAAAGGTTTAACAGGCTCACTCTCTTATATTTATAATCTTACTTATAAGCCACCCTAAACATGCTCTAATTTGGTCTCTTAACTCATGATGATGGGAAATCAGTATATATGTTAGGCATATTTTGTGTTTTTATCTAGCTTTAGGATCAATTCATTGTATAGAGTAAAGCAAATGATAGATGGTATCCCTTTTTAATCTTATCGAAGAGTCATTTGGAAGAGACTTTTTTATCCATGTGAAATTTTGTTATTGTTTTGACGAACTTGACTATTCCAATATGAGAATTTGGAAAAGAAAAAATCTGGTATTTATCGTGTTAAAGAACTGAAATTACAGCATTAGCATACTGCCATCAAATACATCAATGGCACAATGGTAATTCTATAATCATTGCATTTCATCTACTTCTTTGTCATATCTTTTTTGCTTGGAGAAATCACTTCCACCAACTATTTTGCACCTGCTGCATCCCATGTGTTATCAAAATCCAATGCATATATTGTAAAGTATAGGAAAGGGCTTTGCCACAAGCATTACTCCAGTTACTCTCGGTTTGACACATCTTTTACTGAAAATGATCACAGAGAAATATGTGTGTGTGTGTGTGTGTGTGTGTATATATTTGTTGATATTTTGAACACAGTATAGCAGTGTATCGATATCTTGTTTACATGAACTGATGGGATTACAAAGGATTTCTTTTTCTATCTAATATTTCTCTCAGTAGATTTAGTGGTAGATTGAATGAACCAAATCCAAATCTATCAAAATACATCTTAGTTGCATTCCATTTTATAGACGTTATGACATGTGTGAGCTACTAAGGGAATATTTACTTTCTAGGTATTGCTTCCAAGTAATATAGCATTTGTGTTTAGTCACCTTCTTCCCACTTTTCCATGATCTGTCCATCTTTCTACTTTAGCATATTTGGCCTAATACAAAATTTTCTTTTAATTGTACAAGGAAGTTCATGGCAATGTTGATGTTCCGAAATCAAATATAATTCAAGCATGCAAAAGCATTGGTGCTTTAATGCCATCTTTCCATTCTTTAATTATTTTATGAGAAATTGCAATTTTTGGAGCTTAACTTGTCTAAATTACTTTCATTTGTTTATGCTTTCTTCAGTTGCTAGATCAGAGGGAGAGCATAAATGGACTATATTTTCCATAAATATTAGATAGGTAAAAGAATAAATCTTACTTTACTTAGAATTTCATTTGTGGGTAAAAATTCAATCTTGAAGCTTCATTTTGCCCACGAGTAGGAGACCTGACATTATTGAAGAGTTTGCAGTGTAGCAATAATGGAAGAGTGATTCGCAATTTTTTTGTAATGTTTTGTTTTTTCAATACAAATGTTTGTAAGTTCTCTATATATCTCTCTGTGGTTGTCTTAGTTTCTTGAATTCATTCATGAGGTGTTTTTTGTTAAACAAACTTGAATTTATTTGTGGGTTCTTCTATTAAGTCACAATGTTCTATACATTTGAAATCAGAATTGACATTGGCAAGGCCAACTTTATTTTGGTCTTTGAGGCCCCATATGCTTTTCTCCATGTCTCAAGTGTTCCCATTTGTAATTTGTAGCTAACACCTTAATTTTCCTCCTTTCCTTTATACATTGCTTCTCTCGACAAATTTAAGGCATTTGTATAAATGCCAAATGGGAAATATTTTGTTTCTCGAAATAATATATTTTCTTGTGATTGTTGTAATATAAAGCTGAATTTTTCAACTTCTCATTGTAATATATATGTTCCTGTCTATGAAAATTATACAGGGAAATTTCAAGTACATTGTATATTGATGGTTGATTCATTTTACTCATTTGTAGATTGATATTGGTTTAATTTTCTTCTTCCCTACAACTTGAGTATTTAATTCTCTGATTTTGTTGCCTCTCTCTCCCTAAGTCATCCTTGCTTGGTCTTGGGTTTGCTCCACAATGATCACCAGTTCACGTTTCCTCAGAGTCACTGAGGTGAGTATCTGACTGTAAATTTCAGGACCCCGTAGGATTAGTCGAGGTGCACATAAGTTGACTCGAACACTCACGGTCATAAAAAAAAAAAAGTAGTCACCCTTGCTTTATTTGCATTTAAGAATTATAAGTTCTATTTTTGCATTTTTTTTGTGAAATGGTACTTGCAAAACCTTAAATTAATTTGCCTAAATTTGGAGAATTCTAGAACAACCTCAATATCCATTTCCATAATTTATGACATCTTTATTTGTTTATTTTCAACAACTTGCTTGTGATTTTTGAAATCTAAGTTATATGCCTACTCAAAACACAAATGGGCGGCTTGACTCTATTCCTTACACATAGGTTAATAACCAATGAACTACAATGAAGGGGACATAAGACCTTACCTCAAGTTGAAAATGACGAGATAGGTTGAACTTCATTCTCTCTTTAGCAAGGCATATCACCCTTTGCTTACACATTACAGTGTTGTATTAAAATTTATCTTAGTATATTAAATGTTTTCAATACTAATATAAAAGAGTGTTTTCTCCATATCTACACAATTACATAGTCAACTAAACCTTGTCACGTGCATTGCACGTGCATCATACTAGTTATCCAAAGAAGTGAGAGTGAATTGTTTATTGTAATTACCCAAAAAAGTGAGTGTGTTGTTTATTGTAATTACAAGGATAGTTTGATGATACTGAGGAAAATATCTGTTATGTAATGAGAGTATCCTCCTACCACTTTTTGCAATGCTAGAATGTACTTGCCAAGTGATCTGATCACAAGTCAGATTTTTGACATTCTGTGAAAAGTGATAATTAAAGATAAAAAAAAAATGAACCCAGAATTTTGGAAATTGATAAAAAAATCATTTATCCTGAGCCCTTCACGTAAATATGCAGTTGTGTGTGAGAGCATGTGCATTGTTAGTTAAGAGGGAAAGAGATTAATGGAACTAAAATTGCATTGAACCAAAATCAGCAACTTATACATCATTCTGCCAGCAAATTTTACAAGTTTAACTGTATCAAAATTTCTACAAATTCTATATACACACAGTGATCAACTGTTCTTTTGATCTGATTTTATGGACTTCACCTTGCTGACTCGCCCTTCTTGGGTCGAACTATCACTCTAAATGCCCACACTGCTGCCGAAGTTGCTTCCATAGAAGCAAGTCCATATACATTTAAATGCTCCAAAAAAGAAAGAAATATCAGATAAATCAGCCCAAGCCCAAAGCGAACCCAAATCTGTAAACAACCCAAACTGAAATCCAAACACCTCTGAACCCAGCACAATCCAAGCCCAAGCCAAAATGCAAAATCCATACCCAACCGAAACTAAAACCCAGGCCCAAACTGAAAACAAAATAAAACCCAAGCCCAATAAACTAGAAATAGTTATTATCTAAATAAAAAGAAAAAATGGTTAGCCTAAAAGGTAAAATCCATTGACTTACATCTCTATTACTACTATTATTCAGGTTGATCATATTCTTGATAATCACATGAATTTTGTTCACTCCCTCAACTAGTTTTTGCCAACGTCTCTAAAGGTAGTTTAAGAAACAAATTTTGATCATATTCTTGATAATCACACGAATTTTGTTCGCTCCCTCAACCCAAATTTTGATCATATTCTTGATAATCACATGAATTTTGTTCGCTCCTTCAACTAGTTTTTGCCAACGTCTCTAGAGGTAGTTTAAGAAACACCCATTAATTGAATATGTGACGATCTAACAAAGTGGACAAAAGTAACAAAAGCACAATTGTAAAAAACAGAAAACTAATTACATTAAATTCCGAACAATATTATGCACAGTACATCTGAAGAACAAATAACAACTACAGAACAAAATTTCAGTACAATTGCTGCAGATTCTTCTTGATTTCTATACAAGAGCTACTTCTTCCCTTCTTGGTATTGCGGTGGCTTTGCAGATGGGACAGACATTTTTTTGACACAACCACCTCGTAATGCGATAGACATGATATTCATGTCCACACGGAAGGCGTCCAATGCTCTCATCGTCTTTGTACTCGCATTGGCACACCACACAGATTTCAGGCCCTTCGTTTGTGGGTTTTGCCTCTTCCGAAGTAGCGAACTTTCTTGTTTTTAAATGTCGGAGGATAGTTTCTTGTGAGAAATTGCTCCGGACCAGATCATCACGAGAGATGTTGGTAGACAAATTTGATCTCCGATGCTCGATAAAATCAGACTCATTCCATACTTCGACTTCATCATGTGAACCTTACCATGTTCGATTCAAGCGTCGGTAGTTTTCTTGAACATGCTCCCTGGATCGTCGTCGTCGAGGAACATGCCCGTAAGTTAAAG